GCACTACACTTGGCCAGGAGCAGCCTGACCCCAACTGGCTCCCTCCTGGGGAAGAAAACGTTGGAGGGAGGGTCCCTGTGAGTAAGCTCATGAATGGCAGCAACCAGTGCTGAGTGAGGACCATTCTGGGAGACAGTACGGGGTACTGAGAAGGACGTACAGTGCAGCAGTGCTCAACCTCAATGCAGGCAGGACACTGGGGGATTTAGATGCTGATCTGACTGAGCAAAAGCCTGGACAGCAGGAGTTTGGAGAGCCTCCCAGGTGATTCGAATGTGTGGCCAGGGTTGAGGACCACCAGATTTAAATGGGTTCAGGAAGTAGTTACAGACAACTCGGACTTCGGAACAGTCTGCTGTAAACAAGTTAATTAAATACAGTTGTTCATAATAACAAACACACTACTTAGTGACACCCATGGAAACACCGGGTGGTCTGGCAGGGTTTCTTAACCGTTTAACACTCACAGGAAGGTAAAACACATGCTACATACTAAGACAAACATCTGACTAACTGACACTATACGAGAACCGCGTGCACCCGTACAGATTTGATTTGGATTGTTTGGTGCCTGTTCTGACTTACCTACAAATTCGACTTAAAGACAGGCTTGGGAACGGATATCGTTTGCTGCCCAGGGACTGCCTGTACGTATATATATATATAACTAGCAGAATATGGGTTCAAATGTGTGTGTGTGTCTGTGTCTTGTGTGTGTGTGCGTGTCTGTGTCTGTGTCTGTAAACAAACTCATTGCCATCGGATCAATCCCGACTCACAGTGACCCTATGGGACAGAGTAGAACTACCCCGTAGGGTTTCCAAGGAGCAGCTGGCGGATTTGAACTGCTGACCTTTTGGTTAACAGCCAAGCTCTTAACCACTGCGCCACCAGGACTCCGTGTATATATATTTGAAACTCACTAGTTGTAAAACTCACTAGTTGTGTAACTAAGGAGCCCTGATTGTGCAACAGTTAAGCACTTGGCTACTAACTCAAAGGTTTGCGGTTCCGCAGGAGAAAGGCCTGGCAATTTGCTCCTAAAGATTAAGCCTAGAAAACCCTGTGGGGCAGTTCTACTCTGTCCCCTGGCTGCTACAAGTCAAAAATTGACTCGATAGCACCTAACAACAACAGCTGTGTAACTAACCCAAGGCCCGTTCCTCAGCTTCAGTTCAGTCATCTGTGAAATGGGGAGACCGGCAGGGATTCTGTGCCATCAGTCTAGAGTTCTCAGCTCTGACTGGCATAAGTAGGCATTCAGTGAGTGTGAGCTGATATTATCAGTTAGGGTTATTATCGGTGCAGCCTCTTCTCAGCTTCCAGGGTCGTGCTCTCTGAGAAAGCTCCCCTCACAGCAAATGAGGCACCTGAGGGAGGCCCAGGGCCCCAGTCCCAACACCGCCACAAAGCAGAGGGCTGACCTGGTCCTCTGTCTCCTCATCCGGAAATGAAGACAGTTGGCCACCTCCCCACCCAGGAGTCCATTTCTGGAATCCTCGGGGGGAGAGGCATACATGTGTGGTAACTCTAGAAAAAGGTGCAGTACAAGTCCACACAGGGCACAGTGACAGAGCTCTGTGTGTGTGTGTGTGTGTGTGTGTGTGTGTGTGCGCACAGGGCAAAGATGGAGCTGTGTGTGTGTGTGTGTGTGTGCGCGCGCACAGGGCAAAGATGGAGCTGTGTGTGTGTGTGTGTGTGTGTGTGTGCGCACAGGGCAA